GTAAGGTTGCGGACAGCGGCGTTAGATTTAGGATTATCTAAGCTAAGTACTTACGTTAGTAGTTTAAACTCTGCTTAGAAGAACTATTAAAGAGGATTACTTACTATTAATAGCGTTATCCAGAGCTCAGCGGAGATAGTACGTTATCAATGTTTATAGGTAGCCTAACGCCTCACCTAGACGCTTAACTCACGCCTAATAAACGTTATAGATTAGAGCTCTATCTAGCGAGGTCTTAACGCCTTCCTTAGTGGCGATCGCACGGCGAAAAATCAGCACGTTAAGTATCTCCTTTCTCCACGGGATCGGCTGACATCCCTTTTCCCACCGCGCCCGGAGACAAAAGAGAATATTAGGTGACTTTAGATTAGGCGGCCTGAAAGCTAAGTCATCGAAGGCTAAGCTAATAATGTGGGTAATAACATAGAAGATTGGATTGTCATCCAAATTAAAGGTATACGTTTTCCTTTATAGTAGGGTTAGCCATAAGAACTCCCTAACCAAGGGGTACTTATGGTTATTTCCGCTTCTGGCGAGACTTAGTCTTAGTTAATTTCACCCCTAAGCGCAGTATATTAACATGAGTCTTAGCGTTTTTCTTAATGTAGAGGTCTAGGTCACTATAGATCAAGTCTAACAGGGCTTAAGGTTAAGATCTAGTGAACGCTGTTAGCAATAGAATCGCCGCTAACTAGAGTTGTTGCCGTTCATTGGGAAACTAGTTAATATCCGAGGCCTAGTGATAACGGATAAGCTCGACAAAATTGTCCACCTCTATGAGAGACTTCTTGATCTCCTCATTATTCAGGCCATATTCTTTCGTTAATAGCTCTTTAATGAACTGTAGCTTTAGCGATCTGGCAGTATATAACGTTACTTATTTTACGTATCACAAAGATTTACCTCATGACAGCCAGGTCCATCCGACGCTATGTCCACATAATGTATAGCTAACTCAATTACCGCCAGTAGGTCATTAGCATACTGGTTTTCTTGATCGTGTAGGTTCAGAGTAACCAATATAGGAAGTTCTCTATCCGAGCCGTGGCGCACTCACGCAGGGTCTCTTATGGATTAAGCTTAAACTTATCACAGTATCTTTGCAGAGTCAACAGATATCCCAAACTATTAGGTCATAGTATGTACTCCTTGAAGAGGCGCTGAATGCGGTCAACATGATAGATAGTATTCGGTGCATATAACGTCGTGGAATAGGTTTCTAACAAGGCCTTCTCATATTTCCGGGCGAGGATATTAAGTGTACAGACGTTATCAGTGGTATAGCAGAAGTATAAATCCCCAGAACTCAGGTTAACAGTGGTTAACTTCTTTTGGTGAGGCATATGGCTCAAGGATACATAGGGACAGATCAGACAAGGTGAAGAGGAATGGGAGAAAGTGACGAAAGTGAGGTCAGCATGTTAGCGATACCGTCGTACATATATATATTATCTAGGGCTCGTGCAGCTAGCACAGCGGTTAGTAATAGGCAGGGGTATCAGGGCATCACATGAAGCCAGTTTAACTTCTGACTCCGTTTAATGAGCGGGGGCATTTCGATAAAGGGACGGCAGGAGAACTATAAATAATTTGAAATTCAGGAGACGTCCATAAGTCTCACTCCTAGGATCTTCGACATGGGTTGGAGGTCACTAACGCATGCTTTTAAGATTGTGACGTGAGATACACAGAGAGGGTTAGGTAAGAGATGTAAGGGCAGGATGGTGTGTGGGTGTTAGGTAAAAGGTAGAGAGAGAAGGTTATCCGTCAAATCGTCAAAAGCGGCGAGGGACAGGTGGAGCCGGCTAGTGGAAAGGGATCGCAAAAGCGGCTACAGACGTCGTCGCGAAATGGCACCCTTTGCCCCAGGACACAGACTTAAGGAAATAATTAATCTTTAAGACTTAAAATTAAGGTATTATTAACTAGAGTACTATATAGTTTAATGAACTATATAGAGTAATAAATTATAAAAACCTACCTAATTACCTTTTAATGTCTCTAACGCGGTACTAATATAACTATTTCATTATCTAAAGATATTAATGAGTAGTTAGACACTTTATCTTCTTCCTTAGACTTAATTTTAATAATAGATTACTAATATGATAAACCTTATTACTATTTCGCTAACTACTCTACTTTTATCTCCTAAGTAATCTCTAATACTTTCTCTATAGAGTACATAAATTTATCTTCTAACCTAACTCTTTTACCTTACTTATAACTCTTTTATATCTTAAGTAACTTACTCTACTCTTAATTCTATCACTAAAGAAGTGTATTCTTAGTGGTGAGTATTTTCATTGTGCGGGTTACCTAGGCTATATATCGCTTAGTGAGTAATATAAGCTTAGGTATTTATGTTAATACCATATCTAAGAGTATATTAGATTCTCAGAGTTTCGTGCTATTTAGGGGAGAGCTATATAGTAAAGAGAAGTTAAGATTACGCCCCTCTAATAGTGTAATTAAATACGAAACATGTGCGATTATATTTCGTGAAAGGTAGTTTAGTACCTTTTATAGGTTATTTAGTATTAACTTAGTGCCTCGCTATTCTGTGAGAATATTATCTAGCTTAATAGCCTTTATACACGCGCGGATAAATATTTTAAGCTATTCTGAACGCGAAATACGTTATGTACTAAGTTATAAAGTCGTATTAGTCTTCTTTAAGTGAGCGCACTTAAATGTTAAAAACACTTCTATATTAAGTGGCTAAAGGATATAGAAGTAATGTGATAGTATAATTAGTAAGTTAATATTATTCTTTATATAATGGGCAATAAAATTAGCTTTAATATAACTTTTATAGCTATTAGTAATTAATAATTAGGGCTAACCTATCGCTTTCTCATAAGTTTAAGGCTTAAATACCTTAATTAATCATTAAAGGCTAAGCTTATTTAATGTTTAGCCATTTTTACTAACTACGAAATACTAGTTAAAGAATATTTAAGCTAGTAGCTATTTAGAATTAATGTTTTAACTCTTAAAGATAATTATTAGTGAAAGTATATCTTTAGCTATATTAATATATTTAATCATAATTACTTACTTCTATTTCTCTATTATAGTCTTATACTATTATTAATAATTAAGAGAAATTAAGACCTTTATTATTTAACTCTTTTTAATCCTGAAACTAGACTTATCTATATTCTAAATATTAGAATTATTATAGATACGCTCTTAGAATTTAGTGGCGACCGCGTTAAATTATGCTTTAACCTTATTATATAATGCACCATTAAATTATGTAGCCTTAAGTTACTTTATGTAAATACTCTAGATAGTTAAGTAATAATTAAGAAAGTAATAAAGCTATTTATAGCTAATTAAGATAATAATTTTAGTGAAGACTAAATTTTGTGACGCGTGTTAAACATATTTATAGCGAATTAATTTAGCTAGCTTAATTAATAACGCTAGTGTAATAGGTAATTTAGCGTATATATATTGTGAGACCTATTATATAAGCGTCTTTTCTTTCGTGTTTAAAAGGATTTAGACTATTTTTATGGCTTAGGCGCGTGAAAGTTCTCCGGTAAGCTAACGTGATAGGGTTTAATGTGACACGTTAAAAGTGGCGGCAGTAGCGCGAACAGACTTATATTCTTAATTTCGATATACTAGGATAGCCTTCTAAACTCACTCTTTAAGATTAGCTACTTTAGAAGTGCGTTAGTAACCCATGATTAATAGAAGTGATGGTTAAACGTGACTAGATAGAGTTTCGTGGTTTATTACCCTATATAGTTCATTAAACTATATAGTACTCTATAAAAAAAAAAGAAATAGAAAATATACTTAAGGAAAAATATTTATCTTATATATATTATAAATAATATATAAGAAAGAAAAGAGAAAGTATTATAAATAGATTTAGTTTATAAGCTATAAATAAAGCTATAATAATAGCTATTAACTTTATAAGATAAAAATACTAAGAAAAGCTTAAGGTAACTAAAGTTAGAAATTATTATATAACTAAAAGTAATTAGCTATACTTAGTTATAATTAGTAGTGATTAGACTAAGTAATACTAAATAGTACTAAGTATTACTAAGTATAAAGGTATATATAAATAATAATTATTATATAGCTTTATTATATAATTAACTTTGTTTATAATTATATCTATATATTTTAATTATAATTACTTCGCTTTTATACTTACTTAAGTATTACGCTTTTAATAATTTTATTTTTTATACTTTCTATTTATTAAGACTATATATTTTATAATACTCTATATAGAGTAAAACATAATAAAAAGGTATAATTAGATTAAATAGCGCTAGTATTAAAAGTATAATTAGGCTAAATAGCGCTAAAAAAATTAGCGCTATTTAGCTAAACACTATTTAGTCTAAAAGTGTATTAAGACTAAAGAAATTCTCAAAGTTTACTATAATAATTAGGCTAAAAGTGCTAAAGTATATTATTAGTGCGTTATACTTTAACTAAATACTTATTATAATTATATTAATATAGATTAATTTTAAGTATAAAATATATTTAATATATAATATATAGTAATATACTAAACTAAATATATACTTAAAGCTATAAAGTAAGCTTAGTAATAATAAATTTAAATATTTATAACTAGGGTTAAAAGATAAATCATAACTCTTTAGTTACTATAGAGCTATATTAACCTTATAATAATATTAAACTTAGGTTAATAATACTTTTAGATATACTAAATAAACTATAAATAAAAAAATAATGAAATTTAATAAACTAGTAATAATATAGCTAAATATAGCACTAAAGAGTAATGTAAGAAGAGATAAGGGATAACTAAGAAAATTTAGCTATATATTAAAGATAAATATATTAAAGATAATGAACTCTGGTCTTAGCACCCATTTATATATGTATTCACTATGAATATATGCCAGAATAATGTTAGGTGTCCCTTTTAGTTTATTACGCTAGGTCTCCCCTAAGGGCTGAAGTGTGACTTTACTTATAGACTTAAATCTAGCGTCATTTTAGCCGTAGTATTACCTATTATTACAGAAGAGAGGTAAGAAGATCACACAGCACCAGAACTACTTTTCTTTTACATCCTTATCAGACGCTAAGATTTCTTCTCTGTTTAACTAGCATCACGGGGCCTGTGCCAGAAAACTCTTGAGCAGCTCAGCATACCTCTCGGGCTCTTCCAGCGCAGGAAAGTGCGCCGACTTCTCCAGCACCGCCCACTTAACTCTAGGTACTAACTCGAACCACGGTCTCATTATCACGTCGTTATTGGTATCATGCCGACCTGACAATAGCAGCACAGGCACATTAATATTTCCCGCTGTCTCAGTGGCATCATATCTTCCCATAAAGCCCGGCTTTCGAATCATGGAGAATCCTTTTCTCCCATTCGACGGCCACATTTTGGTGCTGTCTTCCCATTTTGCCGACGTCAAGACTGGAGGTAACGGATCAAGCGTGCAAAAGTGTTTCTTCACGAACCTGTCGCGTGCTTCTTGGTATACTGGATTGTCGTAATCTTCATCTGCATCCATCTGCATCACTTCATCGCTTACAGGGAGTGCTCTGAACAGCCGTTCCAACTCCTTGTTCACAATGGTTGAATTGGCCATTGAGCAAGCGATCACGAGCTTTTTGAGGCCGCGCGGTTGTCGCCCGGCGTATGTACTCGCAAGCATTCCGCCCCAGCTGTGTCCAAGGAGATAAAACCCGTCACGCAAGCCCAAGGAGTCGACCAGATTATCGAGCTCGGCGCAGAACAGGTCTAAACCCCAGAACTTTTCATCTTCAGCCTTTTCCATTATCCGAGATGAATTCCCACAGCCGATTTGGTCGTACCAAATGGTAGGTATATTGCCTGACTCGAGTGTTTCGGCAAGGTGAAAATGATCCTCGTGGCCAGCTCCGGGTCCACCGTGTAAAAAGATTAAAGGCGTTGCCCTTTTAATGTCGCCGACTGTCTTGTACCATGTGAAGCACTGCTCTTTTACGCCCGGAATTGCGAATGAGATTTCCCCCTCAGAGGATTGCATGTTGGTCCAGAACGAGGACTTCAGTAGTTTTTGATAATACACAGAACCTGGCTAGCAAGGCAGCCTTAATATAGGTTTCACTTATAGGCAGCAGAGTTATTTTATGCTGCGAATAGTAACGTCTGCCTAAATGTATGACTAATGGGCCGCATTCAAAAAATCGCCCATCGTGTTTATTAGGAAAGGATCTACTCTGGGTGGAGCCCTAAACAGCCAAAAGTAACAAGTGACAGCGCTGGTCATGCGGAAGAGTGTTGAGCATTTCGGGGAAAACATGAAGTCACTTTTTTAAGCTCAAGAGAGCTGTAATCCATACGGGGTCCTTTGTGTGCTCGATCCATCAACATGGAGTAGAAGATCCTTGGACGGCGACCTTCACCATCATGCCTTGAACTACATGGAACCCATCAAAATGAGCGAGAGCCGCCTTAATGTCTTAGCCGTAGTTGCACAATCCACCAGCATAGTTAGTCTGCTCATATGATTTGCCTGGCATGCTGCCGCCCATATATCTATCCTACAAGTTAGCACCACAGTGAAAGAGAGATATGGGTGTACTGCGACAACAACTTACGTGCTCTTAGTGGTCAAGAACAATGACTTGTCGCTTAACGTGTTAATATTCTTCTCTCCGAAGCTATATATTCAGTCTTTCCAAAGAAGCACGAGAAGTTAGCTTCACGAGAATGAAGTACTTCTGGCGCCGATACAGCGAATTAACCTAAGACGCGAGAGCCTTGATTGCACATGAACCTGTCGCGGTTGTACTTCAACCCGATCTCCAATACTACCCTCAAGCTCTTCGGCCAAGAAAGCATATCGCCGGCTGGCGAAGGTCGGTAAAGCTGCGATCATAATGGGACTGACAGGGTGACAGCCCTACCCAGAAAGAGATCGATAATGGTATCGTGGATGACTCGGGTGCATGGAAGCCTCGTCTTCTGATGAAATAACCACCTCTCAATTAACAACGGAGGCCTCGCCAAGTACAACCGTCACGTCTTCAACGCCTGCGAAATTTTCGTCCACCAGCACAGACTTACACGTCAGTATAAGCTCGTCCATAGTACAGTATCCACTTCCACTAGGAAAGGTTCTTCTTCTGGTACAGAAACTTTGACATCCACTAGGCTTATCTCTTTAATGTTAACGGTTCTAGGTCTCTCAACGTGTACAGAATTATTTATAGCTGTTAGACGGCCAAGGGCCTCCCATGCGGAGTACTCCGCCAAAACGGTCTTTATAAATGGAGGCCTATTCCTAGGCCTTAAGACGCTCTTTTATTACCCCATTTTAGTACCCATTCCTCTTTCTATTTTATCTAATAAGGCGCTCGTTATTAATGTAATCTCTAGGGCCCTATTCTCTAGGCCTGTTCATGTTACTGTCCGGGAGTTAATGCGGTAACGAGGACGGCCTTAACCGGAGGAAGAATTACGCTCCTTATTTACTATATAATAGATAGAAAACCGCCTTATAGTCATCGAGGTTAGACTCGACAATACACCATATTAGACCCCTGGCTATTCTATTACCTAGAAGATTACGCACCGCCTGACATACTATACGCCCCTTCATTTTAACGGAAGCACGTATGGCGTTATGAATAGAACGGTCTTAAATCTTTGCATCACGCTTTGCAGAAGTTTTGTGAAAATGGTGACATATAGAGTGTATCTGGGATAGATACATCAACTCTGGCTACTGGCATGTAACCTGTTGTGCTACGCTAGGCGCCAGGCATGAGGAGAAGACGGTGGGGTCAAGATTCGAATCCTATCTATCTTTTTGGCCTAGTATGGCAGCACCTGAGCGGCTCCTTTTCGCGTTGGAGGGCGAGTAAGTGAGACCTAACTTTAGGCCTAACTGGCAGGTTGGGTCCGTGCGCCGTGTGAGGGGAAAGGTGAGAAGGGAAGCAAAGAATTTCGAGCTGCTTTCCTGCTTCGTCACGACATTCACTTTATTCAGCGAACTTGACCCAACTCCTATTGGATTGAGCGCGCAGATATCCTTGTCGCTAAATGGCGTACTACGGCAAGCCATCTGATGCTTGCTATACGTGTCGAAAGAAGCGTGGCAAGGTAAGTCTCCCTGGTAACTTCCACCCCCAACGCAAAAGAGAGAGAGAGAGAGAGAGAGACAATCAGACTGGCTAAGGGGTAACCCATTAGTGCGATAGACGGAAACCCGGCTGCGGGCAGTGTGCTAGGAAGTGTATTCCTTGCCCGGGATACCAGGATCGCACTACTGTCATCTTCAGAGACCAAACCACCTCAACGGCCCAGAAAGCAAAAGCGAGAAGTGACAAGAAGTTAAAACAAGCAAGCCCTGGCACCGGAGCGAGTTCGCGGCCTGATCTGGTACGCGTGCGGACTGATGAGCCAGTTCGTCTTCCGCTTCCTTCACACTCTGGCGACGTACGAGTTAGGAGGCCTCTTTCCCCAGTAGCGACTACTGCTATCACCAACACTTATATCACAGCGACAACAAGCCATGAATGTACTCTGTTTAGAAGTACGGCGCCTACCTCTCTATCTCAAAGATGCCACAGGGTAATCAACTGGAGTATCCCGTTCCGGATAACTCTCAACGAATGCTTGTATTCACCACATCTGGCCCAAGAGCAGCTACTCAGCATATTTTGCACGGCGATATCCTCTTCGGGGCCGGTGCTAATGTTTTCTCGACAAATACCAAGCCACACTCATTGGATCTGTCAACTTTCTTCCTTATTCTGCAGCAATCTCCTCGATAACGCCGTGCGAGCAGTATCTCTGGTCCACTTGAGTCATGTTTATCAGCTGGCTTCTTTGGAGCAAGAATCGAGACACTTTTACTGCATTTCCCTACGCCTCCTTAGCGACGCTCTTTCAGACGAAATCCGGCGATCTTCCACAGAGACTTTGGGCGCAACGATTCTCTTGTCCTTCTACGAGCTATTCGCTTCTGATTCCAGCCAGTCATGGATACGACATGCAGGCGGCGCATCAACGTTAATGCGTATCCGCGGCCCGTCTAAGCACCTGTCCGGGCTAGGTCGTGATATATACCTGGCCTATCGCAGCGCCATCTATGTTGAAGCACTTCTCCGAGTGGAACCTTGTTTCCTCAGTGAGCCAGAATGGACGGAAATGGCAAAGCAAATCCATGAAGATCTACGCTACAGTGATTTAGTAGGTGCAAAGCGTATAGAGCTCTTTGATACAGCCGAGGAGTTCTATATGGAGATTATCCTTATCCCCCGAGTTTGCTATGATGCTTCCCGATTCTTCCAGAGGCGACAGAATTTGACCGCCGACGAATTCCGAGCCTACAGAATCTCTATTATTGACCGATGTCGAGGTCATCGGGCAAAGCTACAGTCAATCAATCTAAGATTTAGAGCTGCTATTCAACGACTGGAGGTGGACGATGTTACTATCTTTCAGACCCCTGATCCTGTGTTTCCCATGCAATATTCCTATATTAGTGAGTCTATTGCGATGGTTTACTTGGCGCACCTTTCGACAACGATTCTCCTCAACCGGATCGTGAATGATTTCGAGTCTATGGTAGCTTTACATCAAAAGGATTCCCATCTCGCTGAGAATAGGGAGATCGCCAGGGAGATCTGTCGAACGGCTTCATTCATGTTGGCCTCATCTGTTTTTGGGCGTTTTTGCCTCGCCTGGGCTCTACAGCTCTGCTTGGTGGCACTCGAACCAGGGGAAGAAAGAGCTTGGGTGGAGAGAAAACTATCCGAAATTGGAAATACTCACACGGCCATCGCAACCGATGTATCAAATCATGAACCTCAGAGCCCAGTGAAAGAATTGGCTGTCGTCGATCCTTGCTAAGATACCATAGTACCCCTCGAAGGTCTCACTACCCTTCAGATAATCCCCATCTACTTCAAGGACATGCTCGAACGGAAATTTCTTAGGCTGTAATTGGCTACCCACAGTACGGTACAACGGCCTACGTGTTCAATTCGTGGTATGTAGTGAATGTAACACTTGGACTCGCTCTGACGTTGATCGGAAACGATTCTCTTACGTCTGAAAACCCAAGGGGAAACGATGATAAGGATATCTCCGAGCTGAATGAGCTCTCCTGTCCCGATCGGAGAGGCATTTTCAGGAACAGCGGCGTGAATTGTTAATAAGCATCTGAGCAAGTTTAAGTTTTTCCAGCGCTACCGCATTGCCCTCAATTGGGTATTCTCATTATATTCCCGGAATGGGACTAGTCCGCGACACAGGGCTAATCAAAGCTATAGATTAAACCAAACTTCGGAGTTCAGCTAATCTAAACATGGAGGGCAGGTCGAATTCGGGCTGTTCATCTGCTTTCATAGCCTCACCAGCACATGATCCACAACGTACTTCAGCTGATGGCTACAGCGCAGATCCGTCGAAATCTCTACAGACCTAGTCACTTTTGGTCGTAAACGCGCTTTCACTGTCTAGCAGGTCCACATGGCTTGGGTTTTGGAGCCTTGGTGATGTGCGTAATTGTTGCCCTTGATTTAGACCAGCAATTATATAGCCGCCGGGGTGCCGAGACGACTGCTCTATATATTTGGGGCAAGACGCAATTGAGCCATCACTAAACAACAACATCTGAAAATAAACCTGCACCTGAGATCCTATTCTACAGCCACAGTACTTCGCGATGCATTTCGGATCGGATTATGTCGTTGCGGCGGCGGAGTTGGGGGTCTATATACCTTGCATTATGCTCGCCTGTCTTGTTTGTGCCCGGCATGGGTTCAGCCGCAGTTCAGGGTTCGTATATTCCCTTGTCTTCTATTCTATCTCTTATACCCTCGGTAGTTCCTAAGGACTAACTTTGTGCACAGCTGGTATTATACCTTTACACTATGTCTTATACGTATCGCCGGAGCTGTCTGTCAGCTCTTGACCCTGACCGACCATTCGATCGGCCTTCTGGAAGCAGTCCTCGTCTTGGCGCATATCGGCCTAAGTTCTCTTATATTATCGACTTTGGGAATGCTGTCACGAATGTGGGAAAACATTAGATTCGTTGTTCCTAACAGCGTTGCTAACCTGAACCACAGAGCCGACTGGATAAATGGACGATGCTCTTCTCCACCACTTTCAATGCGGTACTTCCGCCTGGCACAGCTTGTCGTCGTCGTGGGTATCATCCTTGGCATTATCGGAGCCATACAAAGTAGCGATAGCAGCAAGCGTGCCGCCGACGGGTCACCTGCAGCATTGTCCAAGGTCGCCGTTGTCTGCTATGTGGCAGGATATGCAATGCTAGTCTTTTTGACCGCTAGAGCTCTGGCATCTAGAAGCCTTGTCCCTAACAAAGAACTGCTGTTGGTGGCTGCAGTCTGTGTAACGATGCCGCTCGTCTTTATCCGACTGATATATCAGGTATTGTTGGTTTTTGTGCACCGAGGCGACTTCAAACGGATTAACGCCCCTGTTGTACCCTTGGTCCTCATGTCTGTCGTCGAAGAGTTCTTGACAGTGTTTATCTACCTCTTTGTAGGCATGAGGCTCGGCAAGCTCGACGGATTAGAACAAGGACCCATCTCGTCGCGCCCTTGGAGAATCCGAGGCAAGACCAAGAGGAGAGGAAGACGCCGGGGACGCGACGCGGAGTATCAGTATCCTATTGTCCATGGCTACCAGGCGCCTATGCCGATGGAGTATGAGATGGGCCGAATTCCTTAAAATGAGAGAGCAGGGCTCATGACATAGACAAGAGCCAATACGTGACTGAGTTTGATTTGAGGTGGTTCAAATTTTGCGTCTGCATTATTAGTTCTCGCTTAAACAGAAAATACCATGATGGTCACCGCGTGTACAGCTGAACCTATCTTGTTTCAGGTATCTTAACGCTCAAAGGTCGACCACATGGCTCGTGTCATCGCAAAGGCCTAACATCTCGAGAAGCAAAGAGTGGAAGGAGCCTCCTAAGCGTAGGTAAAACGAACCGATTTCCAGTAGTCTTTTCACTCGTTACCTACTCTGTACTTTGCAGTAAAAAGTACCCATCAATTCCACAAGGGACAACAATAGCAGGGAAGAGCAGGATTGATGGCTGGTTTCTATTCTAGATACGGATTAGTTCTCATGCGGTTTTAGCTTTTTGATCGGCGGCGCTTTAATTGAGCTTCCGACTCGTGGGCATTGCCCAAACAGGTAATTCAATTCGAACCAGGATACTTCAATCCCCTTTGGCCAGATACTTACATAGCTACCCACAAGTCACAGCCAGGGACGTTTGTGTCGTCATGGACCACCAGGTTAGACCAGACTAGGGCTCACCACTGTAGTGACACAAAGCCCTCGGCTGTACGTTATAGATGTGGACGGCGGCATGGATATATAACCGCCGTGCCCCTGCGGCATTTTCTTCCAGAATCCTGGGTGGCTCGTGAGATCTCTTCTGAACAATTCCCTGCTACTTGAGCTGCAATATCACCTTTTAACATCTCGCAGTCCACGCTCTCGACAGGTTTTGGCTTTATGGAATTGATCCGGACACCCATGGGTTCAACGTCCCGAGGCCCAACCCTCAACAATGGGTTAAATGGAGGAAACCGGTCAGTTTTGGTGTCTAATATGTCGCCTGACGACATACAGACCTCTTATGGAAGCTCTAGGTCACATAACCATAGGGGCGAAGTACACGACCAACTTTTAACTTCAAGGGCTGTATCGTCTGCTTGTAGTAACAGATACGACGAGGGCCAGTACCAACGAGGCCAATACAGCATCAGGTACGAAGACAAGGGACACCCGAACTACCGACGATATTCAGCCTCGGAGGAGCGCACTTTGACGACAGAGGTCTCTCCTTTCAGTAACAAGCACAACGAGGAACATCGAGACAAGGAAATCGACTCTCCTCCCTTGTACACCTCTTATCCAATGGGACCACCCCCGCTGCCAGCCAGTTATCATGCCCAGAATGAGGATAGCCACAGTTTCAGAAGTGACAATGCTAAATATCGAGACGAGTATCACCAAAGAGCTCTAGAGTCGCAGTTAAGAGCTATTAACCAGCCCTCTTCCAGGTCAGAATCAGGATTTGGGGCCGCCCTCGATAGACCTTTCCGTGTGCTTGCTCTTCCACAGATAGACTACCGGGACGGATCGCCCTTTCTGCGAGCATACAGCCACGAGCTTCAGTTGTATGGAGTCTCGGAGCATGTTTTTTTCGAAGCCTTGGACGCGATTAATGTAGCTCGCGTTCCTAACCCAGAGAATCAAGTCTTCCAGACAGGAGCCAATATTGCTAAATTATTTATGTAAGTTCTAAATGTATTTGTTCCCTTGCTAAAGTGTCTTTCGGGCCACTCATTTCCATTTTGAAAGCGCGGTATTGACTTCAGTTTCTTTAGACCTGGAGGCGCCAAGCTTGGTCTCATGGCTGGTCAGCTAGGTGTTGGGCTAGCAACCCGCATTGGCCACTCATCCCTGGTGGATAGAGTCCTTTTAAAGATCAACCTAGAGATCTTTATACCCAATACTCTCGAAATTTGGTTGGTATACTCTCTACGAACGCTTAATTACTATCCCATTACTTGAGAATATCAGCAGGTTCAGTCCGCTAACGTAATGGTGAACAGTATTTGCACCGCTAAAGAGGTCAACGCTGAGGTCGGCCTCTCCCCGAACGAGCCACGGAGAGATTTCGTATCTGGCCTTTCTCCGCAAGACAAAGTCACTACGTATGGCGACCTTGTTGCCTCCTTGACTAGAGTTCTTCCGCCTGCTGAGAATATAGGTCGACAGGACTCAATTGCTGGTCTTGGGAACTTCTTGAATGGCCGCAGAACGAGGAAGAAGGTGGCAAAGGCAGAGAGACGCGACGCCTGGAAGAGGGGGGAGAACAAGAGGATGAGCCAGCTTGAGTCCTCGCTCCAGTGGGTAAGTAGCATAAGGAGCCATTTTCCCTTTCTTCTTTATGCCTTGTAGCCGGGCTTACAAGGTATTCGCAGCTCATGGTAAGACGTGCATCACCTGGCACCGTGGAACAATGGCAGATGATGCTGAGGCAAAGAAACCAAGATTTGAACAATGGTCAAGTACATTAATAGATGTCTCCACGAGTGAACCCTGTAACCCCTGAGACTTCGACAACGTAAAGGCCTAAGCAAGGTCAAAATGCTTGGGGCTCCATGAGTCATTCACGATAGGAGATCAGTAAATTGATATCTCCGCCTTGTATAATTTGTAACTCCGCTCTTACGGGTTCATGAATTTGCTCACAGTAAACAATGAGCAAGTTATATATAACCTACCTAATACTAGGGAATACTTTATTAAGTGAATATTAAGTTGAAAATGTTTTATATAAAACCCTGAACCTTAGCGCGGTTATTCTGTAGAATAGAGATTACAGGAGTTAAAGGTAAAGAGACCCTAGTCCTTATTCGTTACGAGCCCTAGGCCGCTAGTACAGTAATGCTAGCTATTTTAGAGGTAAATAGGGAAGGTTAGAAGTCATGGTCTACGGGTAAGTAAGAAGATAGATATCGACCAGGCAGTATATTCTTTACATATGGCTATTTAATAGGTATAGATAGCTTACTAACTAGGTTAGGATAATTAATAAGGATATAGCTTAAGGATATAGCTTAAGGAGTTATAAATAGAATAGTGTTTAGTAAACCTTCCTAGTAACTCTCTCACGTGGTTTTAATTCATTTCTTATAACACTAAATAGAATCTTAATCTATACCCGTTAAATATCTTAATTCCTAGTTCTATAGTAAAAACTATAGAAGTTAAAAGAGAGTATTATAACTATTCTAGACCCTTAGAGACAAGAAGAAAACTATTTTATTTTTAGAGTTAATAAGTTAATAAGAGAGTAAAGAGATATTAGATCTTAGAACTAATAGTTAAGCTAGTATTATAAGGGCTAAAGTGAAACCATTAAAGAGACTTACTAGAAAGGTTTACTAAACACTATTTTATTTATAGCTCCTTAATTTATATTCTTATTAACTACTTTAACTTAGTTAGTAAGCTATCTATACTTATTAAATAGCTATATATAGAGAATATATTACCTAGTTAATATTTATCTTCTTACTTACTTATAAACTATAATAACTAGACCCTTTATAAGGACTTAGTAATAAAGTCTCTCTAGTTATTAAATAAGCTAAGTTATAATGATATTATTATAACCTTTATACTCACACTAAATATCTTTAAGGAACTTCGCCACCTAAAACGCTTATTTTTACTCATTTTATAGTATCTATTTTACTTATTTTATAACTATTAATTCACTCCTTACACTATATTATATTAATAATAATATATTAGCTATTTTATTAATGATTAATAAAGCGCTTATTATAATTATTATAGTTTATAGAGAAAGACTAACTTATAGCCTATAATATAGTAGCGAAAAAGGCCTTAATTAAATAAAGAATAGTTACTTCTTTTATCTATATATATTATAGTCCTTAACCTCCTAAATATTAAGGTTAAACTTATTAGTGCATTCTATTTAACTCTTATTATTTAAGCGTTATATATTACTAGTTATCACTAATTATAGAACTAATCTTAGAATAAGGTGTAAAATGCTAAGTAGATATTAGACTAAAGCTATAATAATATATAAGAGTGTGAGTAGAAGAGTGAGAAGAAAGTAAGAAGGGGTACCTACTCTTTAAAAGCGGTATTGCCTACGTGAGTAAGCTAAGAGCTTGGAGTAGTTTGACCATTATGTTACGAATCAAGCCTCTTATGAGGCCGCAGATAAAGCTGTGACAACAGCCACTTAGCGTTATTACGTTCGGGGCACGTGAGGAGAAGGAGGAACTTAGTCACGTGACATGGAAGGCTCTTGAGGGCTCTACAGGCGGTCAGCACAGAGCCCACAGAGCTAAGGGATCTCATGGCTCTTAAGGCTTCTATGACGGAGCCCACGAAGCTAAGGAGAGCTAGGGAATATAGTAACTATATATACACAGTCATTACATAGCATTATCACGTGGTTAACTTCGTTCACGATCATACCTATACGTTTTAGTCATGATCAGTTCACTCTTATACTCGCTTAAGTACCGCGCTCTTAGTGACCTCGCCTCTTATACTTCCTACCTATTAAGACTATATGTCTTATAATACCCAGTGTGGAGCGAAATATAACATTAGTCTTAAGGGTCTTTAATATGGGTTAGAAAGTCATGAATATATATATACACACGGTTAAGAATGTGGCGTAAGACATAGAGAGAGAGAGAGAGAGGGTAGAATCCTGTACAGGCATTAGGATAATATAAAGAGAAAATAGTTATACGTTAAATCGTTAAAAGCGGCGAGGGAAGAGTGCAGCTAGTTAGTGCAGAGAGATCGTAAAAGTGGCTACAGACGTCATCACGAAACGGCATTCTCTACCCTAGGACATAGACTTAGGGAATAGTATATAATTTTTAATAAAAATTAGAAATATTTTTATATAAGAAAGCTACTTTAACTCTATTTAAAGCTCTTCATAGTATTACTTAGTATTACTTATTCTAATTATTACTACTTATAACTAACCGTAGTTAATTACCCCTAGTTATATTATGTGACCCCTAGTTTAGCTACCCTGAGCTTCCCTTAGTATTCCTGCCTTATGGGGTTAACAGCTGTCGTCACAGCTTTGTCTACGGCCTATAGGCCAGGCCTATTCGTAACACAAGGCTGATAATCACTACAGATATCCAGATCATGAAGAAACCACTTCCTTGTCCGGCTTTGCTTACTGCATTTGTGGCGGACAAGGCGGGCTGGGGTCCTGAATTTCAAGCAATTATATATCTCCATCTAGCTATTGAAGTTCTAAAGGTGGTTTATGCGGAATTCAACAAGCAGCTTGAAGAGATGCTCAGGGATCTCTCTGTAACGCCTTTCCAATGGTTGCGTTCCACTCGGCGTAACTCAGGTTCGGGTTAAGCACCAACTTGAGATCAACATCCACATGACCGGGATAATCTGGTGCTGAGACACCGTCCCAGCAGTACCGGTCGAAACACCGTTGGCACTGAGCTGTACGCTGCATCGGCGGATAGACTTTAGCCAGGCTCCGATCAATCGCCGCACACGCAAGGCACGCTGACCACTCGGGATCCAGAGCTCCAGCTGCTTGGGTGATTTCGTTAAAGGTGTTGTTCCAGATGTCGTGGGCACGGGGGATCGGGGTCTGGTTCTGAAAGAAGGTGATGTTGCTATAGGAGCTGTAGGGTGCGTTGGGAAACCAGGCGATGATGGGTGCGCGGGTGTCGTTGGTGCTGGTAAGGTGGGCGTCACAGCCGAAAAAGACTGGCTTGGTGGTGTAGTTGCGGGCAATGAAGGTGGCGGCGGTGGGCACAATGGGGAAGGGAATGTTGTGCTCCTCGAAGTATCGATACGCTTGGTACATGTTGGTTCCATTCTCCCAGCCGTTCGGGTAAGCATCGGTGTTGTCATCCCAGGCAATGATGAAGGAGGCATTGCGGGCCAGCTGGCCAGCAAGTGGGAGAGAAGTAGCGACTTCGGTTGCATCCACAAGCTTCAGTTGGTCGTCAGATGGGTCGTTTGACCGGCCTCGGAAGGGATTAGGAACCCTCGCGTAGGTGTAGCCGTTGAGATCCAGTCCGAAATATTTTTCAAAGGGCTCGGCGAGTCCCTCGACCTCTTCAGATGGAAAGACGGGCTCTAATCTCTTGCGGAGTGTGTACGTCCCTTCTGGTGTTCTCTTCACTTCTGAACGCTTGGGAAACTGGCCGAGAGTGTTGTTTGAGTGGTTTTCAAGCCACCAGTATTCATAAGCGTCGGCTGAGGCACCGATTACCCAACTGAAGACCAATGTTAGCCATTATACGAAGGAATTGACTGTTTCTGGGCGTACTTAAGCCGGTCGAACCCCTTGACACAGACCGAGCTGTTGGCCGGTTTCCCATTCATCATGGTGGTGCCTAGGTATTCCATGTTGGCAAAGGAGTCGGCAGGTTCAACCCAGGAGCCAAACTCGTACGGTGTCATTTCGTACTGGAAGAGAATTAGTATCATTTCATTGAAAACCTTATCAATCGAGAGCTATAGGAACACATACAATTGGAGTTCGATTAGTCGGTACCAGGAGGCCGAGTTGATTTGGATCCTTATTCGTAACCGCCGCGATCTGAATAATTGGCAGGGGCATCTCGTAGTTTCTGAACTTCTCAAGGTTCTTAATGTTTGACAACGTGACGTTGAGACCACCTCTAGGTCCTGGGATAAACTCGTAGCCGTTGATCCTTCCAAGGAGATCGGCCACACTGACGTTGAACCCAGCTTCCGCCTTGGTAGCAATATCGAGGACAATCGACTCGATGGTCGCCGCGTGCGTGCCATTGGTAGTGGCGGTGAATCGGTCAATTTGAGGCTGCCAGTAGTCCAAGAGGTCATCTGACATGGGAAACTCTGCCGCCGTATATGAAGATACCACCCAACTACCGCCAGACTGACCGGACAAGAGTGTCAGAGCTTGTAGCAGGCCGCCTGTACCTGCAGCATTAGAGGTCTTCTCACGCCCGTCTAGAGCCCGAATGACTCCTGCACCCATAATGGCGGATGCATAGCCGCCGCCAGAGATAGCCAGCCCAATTGTAGGCACTGCCTCATAGTGAGAGGAGTGGTTGAGGTTGGAAATATAGTGGTCAATATCGAAGTCTGACATGTTGGCATTGGACAGGTATTTGGACAATGCGCCAGCGACAACCCTCTTGCGGTTGTGGACCCATGTCTGCTCATCCGGGTTGAGACCTTCGGACGCAGGTCTGGTAAAAGTTGTGTTGTGAGGGCAGTTGACATATACTGGAGCATAACTCTCACTCAGGTTCTGAGCGATAATAGGCAATGCAGAGATTGCTAACAAGGGTAAGATATCGGAGTGTCTCATGATTTCGAGGAGCTGGATACACGACCTGTGTCCAAGGCTGTATATTAGGAAGAATATGGGCAGCTCCCCTGAGCGTTGTTGCCGACATTATATAGTTATGGTCTCCCTCTTTCAGTAGCGAAAAGAATTGAGCCATCATCCATATGAAGATGACGGCATTCGTCATCAAATCTCTCAGCCACGCCATTCTGGTCTAATATAAATACTGATCAAAGTTTATTGAATGGACATCTCATACCAATATAGGACGATGGATCACACTAGGAGATCTCGTTTTCGGTCCCAGCGATTGTAACATCCAAGTATCGGGCGGTCAAACGGCCGAGAGAGGAGAAACTCAGCTATGTACTCTTTATTGTCTCTGACATGTCCCGCATAAACTTTCTAGCTAGCTTCGGCCTAAACCGATCCTGGAAGCATTTCCCGCCATACCACCCAGGGTGTGCCCGTGCTTAACTGAGATCTGCGGAGTATGCTTTAGGCCTTACCTGCGTATGAGACCAGACTGAACAGCGTTGCACAAGACAAAACCATGACGGAAGCTGACCTTTGATGCCGTGGCGTCGAGATTTCAAGCCTTCCGTACGCTGCTGCACTAGAGCTCAGGTGCAAGATTGTGACTTCGGGCCGCATCACCTCAAGGCCAAGTTCCCAGAAAGTTGTCGATTCGACGCTTGTATGTTCCTCCAAACGCTGATTGAAGCAGTTTCCGTTCTTCGGAAGACTGTCCTGGGGTGTCATATCGATCAAGAAAGCGGGCGATAGTGATGGCTGGAAAAGCAGTCATATTGATGAAGAATTCGCCCAGATTGCTCTTTGCAAAATACGGGAGCAGGAGCGCAATTCTGCGACAATACTGCCGCGGCTCAACTCGTTCTGGAAGGTCGGTTCCGGTTGGATTGATTTTGCCGAGTTGATACATGTGTTGATATAGCAACAAACAGACTGTCCAATATATCAGCCCCAGATGGGCCATGGCAAAATCTTCAGAAGTAGGTATGGTAGTCGCTTGGGGCTCACCGGAGACCTCATTGGCGACGAAGTTGACTGTGGTAAGTCCTGATGTGTTAGACCACCGTTGCAGCTGGGCATCCAGAATCCAGCACCTTTCTTCCAGCTGCTGATGCCCAGACACTTGGTTGTCTACTTTCTTGGGCGTAGAGTCCGTAAGCGCGTCGAAATCTTCCATGATAGCTGGAATATCGACGAGCACATCTATAAGCTCATTTTTGGTATCCTTGGGCTTCAGTAACCAAGGAGTTGTCTTCCATTCAAGAGAAGCAAAAGTGGATCGTTTACGATGGCGAAGATCAGGATACGTCTATTTGCGTCATTAGTGGCAGGTCGGTGAGGGAGTGGAGGAATGGTATTTGCCTCACCAAATGAAGGCGACTATCAATGAGCAGTTGATGAGAGTATCCATCTGTGAAACTATTGGGATTTCTTGCTGTAAGGATAGCCTTTTCTCCCAGGGCGTGTCGGTTCCACCTCTGGCCCGAAGAGAAGGCCGAATGTCGACTTCTGGCTCCCTGTAGCAACTAAATGAGAGAAGTTTTAGACTCTGTCTGGCAAGATTACTAGAAAGAACAGGCTCAACATACCTCGTATTGAGCAAGTAAAATCGAGGTAGCAAGGAGTTCATCACCATTCGTATCGTTCATCGCGGGAAGCGATCGAGCCAGGATTTCCAATGACCTGCCGTACACATGCCATGCTTGTACAACTATGAACCCCTGCCCACTCTGGTCGCCCAGTAAGCTCAAGGCGTTTGCAACGACGGCAAGGCGCACAAGACTATGCCGCTCACACAGGCCTTGCACAATTCTCGTCCAACCAGCTGTAGAGTAGTTTGAAGCGCTCTTTGGAAACTCACGGCTGTTTGGGAGCAAAGAGGTCCAAAAGTTGTCAAGGCATTGGCATTGGAAGGCAACAGAGCCCAGCGATTGCTCAAGCTCAGAAATAATAGATGATACCATTGAAGATGTTGTCTTGGGCGAAACAGGGAAGGCGCCTGATTCAGTTCGAGGCGGCGCCGCATACGATTCAGGTATAAAACGTTGAGTTTGAGCACTTGCATCTGCATGCTTCTGGCTCGTATGGACGAAAATACGGGGCTGGATGTAGCCTTCACAACGAACATCGGCTTTTATACACTGTCCACAGCTTGGTCTCTGTTGGTCACACTGTAACTCGGAATTAGAAAGTTAGCTGGCAGCTCTAGCGGGATAGCGAGAGGTACACACATCCAGTGATAAGGGCGGGGCATTACTTACACCCTTCTTGCGGGTTTTGCAAGTCCAGCAAGCCTTCGATCGTCCTGGCACACCCACCATTGTTCCTCCTGGTTACTCTTCTTGGGGGATGAAGCACGAGCAACAGCCAAGAGCTCGTTCGGGACACATGCAATCTAGAAATTGAGGCCAAATCAGCAATTACATACACACTTTTCTAACATCTTCGTGTTCAGCTAGCTCTTACTCTATTGGAGATTTCGACGCCCTCATTCGCAACCTACTTCCGAAAGCTTGACATCGATATAAATAAACCTTTTGAGCACATCCGTCAACTCGTTGTGAAGTAGGTGATATGTGGAATGGTAAGAAGCAGCATTACAGTAAGTCATCATGCTGAGATGTTAGTGCCCATACAAATTGATTTGGATACAGAAGTGTCCGGCTTACAGGGCTGACGAAAAGACTAATAACCGTATTACGTAAAAATGGCTAGCTAGTTTAGGCAGCTATCGCGAAGGCACTAAGTTTAGATGTCAAGGGCACCTTAGGGGCGCATGCAGTGGGTGCCCTAGGTTGATCGTTAAATTGCAGAATGGGAAATGGAAGTTGCTTTGAGTCACAAAAATTGGACTTCTGCTTAATCGTCGAGACCTGAACCGGTCAGGACGGCCAAGATCTTAGCACGCTTCGGTTATCTTGGCTAGCCACAACGGATCTTCAGAGGAGTTCGAGGTCCATATAGCAATATCCTTTCTGGAGGATAGGATAGAGTAGTCGATAAGTGTATATATCCTATTGGTATCAACAGCGGAAATGTTGATGCCTTCATAAGAGTCGTCGATGAGCAGCTTGTATCAGTGCATGTTGACAGAAATCATCCAACTGAAGAATCTAGACACAAGAAAATTAGCGAGGATTAGCGGAACGTGTGTTCCGTATTTGAAGGGAAAAGCTTACCATTGTAGCCGAATTTGGCCAGTACCGTGCTTTTCGCTGGAGAAAAGACAAAGCAAATTTCAGATCCTTAAAGGCCTGGTCGCGGACAGCCTGGTTATCTGAGTGTCTGTACACGGCATGGATGGTGGCGCAGAATAGACAGGCGTAGCTCAGAAAGGAGGAAACAGTCTTGCATCCTGCCTCCAATGCCGACTTGAGGACTCGGTTGAATTCTGTTGCATGATACAGGCCGCTCTGCAGCGCGTTGATGACAAAGCCGACGGGAAGTCTTGTGGTCGTGTTAGACATCATTTGACGCAAAAGGAAGTCGTGATTGAGGATGCAGTAGCACAAGTGGTGAAGAGCCTGTGACACGACAACTTGCTCGACTGAGCTTAAACCGGGGTCCATGGCGTTCTTGAAGCTGCTCGTGAATTCTCGCACTGGTTGGTGCCAGTTGACATGGCTTTCGAGATAGATCAAGGAAGAGTTGATGGAGGTGTACTGTGAGCTGACGTCCCAAGGAGGGAGGGCGTGGCTATTACGGCGAGCTTGGATTGCACACTGTGAGCATCGGCTGAGGGTTGCTGAGATGATGATGACTCGCGAAAATGGGGATGGTTCAGAACACTAAGGGACCCGGTTCGTCAGGTATGCTTCCACTTTGTCAGTCTCTTCCCATTGGTTTTGTAGGAAGGCAGTTTCGGTGCAGGGAATCTGCACGAGGACGTTTCCGTCTGTAAATACAGGAGGGCGGGCTCTTCCACATGTCATGAGCTTGTCCAGAAGCTAAATCGACCAGAATGCACGACGACTTTCTTCCTGCTCCGAAAATGCGAGTGACGAAGCTGGTTCAAACATAAGACGTAGATCCTGGGCAAATTTAGCGGCTATGCCGATCTTGACCCAGGCTTTGCGCTGCCTTCCCTCTGAAGATTTGGATTAATACTCATCGCGAACGTTGATTCGGGCGTCCTTGATTGGGTGATATACGCACCAACAAACTCATAGATAGCTAGGAGGGTAATTGCTTGTACGACCCCTACGTTGCAATCATCGTCCCCGTCTACAAACCTAGAAGAGAGTATTCTCCAGGAATTGTTGGCGAAGATATCCGCCGTGACCTTGCGCTTGTTTGTGAAGAACAAGTTATCTTCGAAGTACGGGTCAGTCGAAAAGCGCAGACTGCTGGCAATAACAGCCTGCAAAAGGTAGTCAGGCATGGTACCGTTAGCAACCTTGCGGCGGAACGTTTCCTCATGGAAGAATGAATATGGCTGATTATGTGAGTACCGAAAGTAATCACTGAGTAACCGGTCAATAGAGTCTTTAGGGAGATCATTGAAGCCTCTACGTTCTTGTCAGTTCCCTTTGTGTATTCGCAAATCTGAGAATACGCACATTGTTGGCCTTGACTCAAGGCCGGGGAGCATTGCGTCGGTCTGAGAGCCGACGTTGTAACCAAAGGAAAAGTTTTGGAGTATTGGAGTGTCGGGAGGATAGCTCGGAGGCATGCTGGGCATCATGAATGTTTGAGATGGATCCTGAAATGAAAAACTCTCCGACGGGTTTGGCTGGCTCCTCGAGAGCTCGTTCAACTTGTATTCAATCTGTGAGAGTCGTGCTGCCAAGTCGCTCTTTTCAGACCACAGGCGTTAATGACATGCACAAGGAAAAATGAGATTGGCCTAAGACCCTTCCGCAAACTCACCGAACTATTCACTGTAACCAGTGCGTTATACGATAACGGTAGAGAGTCGCCTGAAGGGACATCATCGTCGTATTTGCAAGGCTGGCTCAGTCGCTGGCAGAAGCTGCATATTGGTCTCTCACCAGGAGACCGGGTTTTCTTCCGTCTGCAAACCAAGCATGGTAAGCGGCTGTGGGTGCACATTCGAGATGAGAATCGCAAGAAATAGATTATTTTACTTACCGGCAGTTGGAACATGCTTGTCGCGCTCGCTTTATGCCTCGTGGCCAGTTATCTGTCATTTTGGTGCAAGAGACCGGATCTGTGTGTGGACATTCAGGGTTGACTGTCTGCAACTGCTTTCCGCGCACAACGGACCAATATATGGGCTTGCGTCTGGGCATATTGGCGAAATCTTGGGGCTTGCGGGGTTCAGGGATCACCCCATGCTACCTGATGGGGGACTTGCCATAGTACTGTGCTCAGGCCAACGACTACGAGAGGTGCTAGGTTAGCGGAAAACACTGCGGCACCGGACCCGAGGTCACTGATCGAACATACATATGACCTTCATCGCCTCAGAACCACATGAGAGAGTTAGAATATAGTGGCACTCACTACCATGAACATCGTTTGTTGAAAGTGATGTCAGAATATGGTTTCTGGGCCACACCTTCTGTAGAATCACCAACTTCGGAAACGCCAAACTATGAAAAGTACATAAAGGGAAACCCCAGGGTCAATTTGCAGCAGTTGAATTCTTCTTAGCAGTAGCCCTTCGGTAAGCCTTCGGTACGCTCTTCGCTAGACGTGCCGATTTCCCAGGGCCTGGTTTGGAGGTATTTCCATGAGTGTACGTAGCATTTCGGCTTCGCTTCATTTTCTGCCGATTAGAAAACTTCAACAGAATAAAATCCATCGTACTTCGCTGCCCAGGTCATTAAATCTATGCATCACACAGAAGAGTTTCAGGCGTGGCGCGTATGTAGGCATATAGGTATAACCATCAAATTTATTCTCTTGCTATCCCGTCCGCACATTGCAATCTACCGTTCAACCTATTCCCAGAGGGATCGCGTATTCGAGGATTCTACAGTGGATGGACTCGCGCGGAGAGGCAAGAAGATCTATCCGATATTGGTTACTTTAGATGCCATTAGCTTTCAAGAAATCTGTCCAGATACCGAAAGCCACTGTGGCATTGAGCTGGAAAGTAGTCGTGTTAGTCAATTTCCATCCCAAGGCAGCCGCGCTGTCTTCAGTCATAAACGTGCTGAGAAACTCTTACGGCAAAGTTAATGGCATGGCCACTATTTGGTTGAACATGAGTGACCAGATTCTTGGATGCTGGAAACGTATCGGCTACCTTTTGGTCCAAAACATTGACGCAGTTTCCGCCGCAGGCAATAAAATCGAATTCACCACTAGAAGCAATACATTAGAAGACAGGATGCATATGAATCGCAGCAGCATGTCGCTACTGACCTGGTTACCTACAAGACGTTAGACACGGCGTTCCCCATATCAAGATCAGTAACTCACCAAAACTGGTCCAGCAAAGACCGGAGCCGAGAGGTTTACACGTTGGATAGTCAAGTTCTCAAGGACAGCAGCTGGCTGCTTGTTGTCCTCGGTCCATTGTACCGCCTCTCGGTCATAGAAGGGTGCCTTGAAAAAGCTAGATTGCTTTTCAGTCTCTCGAGCTTTACACTCCGTCGAAGCACGAGGCTAGGGGAACCTTACCTTTCGATATTAGAATAGATATCTACCCACACTGTCCATCCACCATCGAGAGTAGACCACTTGTTCGATTTGTCCAGGTTCGCTAGTCGGGATTGCTTGGCTTGGTCGGCGACTCCCTTAGTGGTGATGTTGTAGGCAATGCCCGTTAAAATTGCCGCATCGACTAATTCTGGTCCCGAGTTCAGCGCAGCGTTTGAATACACGCTACCCATGCTGTGGCCCACGAGTGCGATCTTGGAGGCCGGAGCTCCGAACTTGTCGCTCCGCAGAAGCTTGGAGATCTCTTGGATGAGAGCAGTGTGGATGCTTGCTTGCGTGGTATAGCCGGACATGCTACACGAGCATTGTCAGTTGGAAATGTTTCGTCAACGGTCGCAACGACGGACATACCTCTGCGATTTGCCCAGACCCAACCGATCGTAGTAAAAGACCGAGTATCCTTGTCCGATGGCAAAATCTACAAAGCTATAGTTCCCCGGCTCGTAGGAAGGATGCCAGTATCTATCAAACAGGTTAGCCTCGGCTGCCATATTCGAGTGCGTAGCGTACGATCGGTCATATCCACCACCGTGGGTTGCCAGCAAGACCGTTCCATTTCCTCCTTGACTTGGGCTGCAGAAGGTTCCCGAGATGGTGTATGTCGCCGTTTCGGACCCATTGGGAGCGCTGATGGGACGAAACATTTCTGCGGAGTCCCGGCGCCCGACTTGAGCCAAGTAAGCTGCCTGTTGCTCGTTGGTCGTGATAGGCTCGAGCTCCCATTTGTAGTTCATGGTCGTGACCGTGAGCGGTAGCGAATAATCCTGACATGTTTTCTGGGCGGGGTTTTGGCCGATCGGGCCAGCTGCGACCAAAGTGGTCAGAAGAAGGACCCACAACGGGAGGGAATGCATTGTTGGGCCAAGTATAGACTTTGAAGAGAGATGAAAAGATACGAATATGGAAGAGACAGTGGAATTATCTAGCCGTCCGTGAAAGCAGAGAAGTATTTATCTCCCGCGCATGGCGTATAATGACAGTACGTTAAACGCGTATCAGGATTGTCATCGCGCTCTTACCCAGTGTTCTTACCCAGCGTAAACAAACCTATATACTACAGTACGTATTCGCTACGGTACCGTCTTCATCTCATTACTGCTGTGGACTAGTCTAGCTATCGACCGGCCACGGCAGTGTCAGGACTTAGCGCAATTTCAGCAGTATTTGAGGCTTATGCCAAGAAGACACGGATACTGGCGTTCCACGTGTAACATATGAGACTGTGAATGACGACTCTGGGCTTCTCCACAAACTTTCTTAAATGCAGCTCCGGTGTTCGGCGTGTTAATAGGGATCAGTGCGAAACTCGGCGCTGAAAAACGCACATGGCCACGAATACGTATATCTGAACCAAAGCTTCCCTTCGCGGCTGACTTTCATGGCCATCACAATTCGTATAATCGTTACTGAGCATACAACGCGTGTTCCTGAGAGCTCTGCGGGTGTTGCAGTTGTTATCTCTACGGCAGATCAACCAAGAGTAGTGATGGAGCCCCCTAGTACTTTTTTCTTCGTGTTGTACAGGCTGATGATGGATGCGGTAACGCGTGCACCAGCCAGAACTTCTGCTACATATTTAAGGGTTTCTACCTACGCAGCCTTTAGTAACAATAGTGTCAGCACATTCTCGGCAGGCCCGAGGATTAGCGTCCGCAGTTCGTTGCGATGGGGAGAGTTTCATAACCCCATACGAGGAACAGTGGGGCATACTGTGTAAAGTTCCAAGGTTCACGTGTGAGAGACTCTGCCAGGACGGAAAATATACGATTACGCTTTGCACAAGGTTTGCGAGATTATTGCTTTGTCTTAGCTTAGCTCGCCCCGAGCTCAAGACGATGGCAGCGCATACTTCCCCATTGTAGGCTTCAGCATCGACCGTCAAAAGATCAATAGACGGGAGTGATCGGTCATAACCACCCACTCACTGACACGGATGGCTCGCGACCACGAGGAGAATGTAACGATAGACAGTAAGGGCGCAGCTGCTCATTATTGGGTTAAATATAGTACTTGCCTCTGGAGATCGTGCTTGCTTTCTTGAGCCTTTGTGTGCTCGCCAGTTTTACTAGATTTGAGTCAAAGGCGAATGCTCAATAGACCTTGAGGCAGACTTGGTATCTTAATCCACGGCCGCCCAGTTTATGCCTTCCAAGAAGCCTTTATCTATACCCAGGCCCCCGCAAATGCTTGTAACAAAGAGGCCTAGCTGAAACAGCTCAGTCACAGCTGTCAACCGATGTGGCTGAGTGGCCGGGGAAAAGGCAAGCACCCTCTGCAAATGCTGATCACTGCGAATAATGGCAGTTGAGAATGATATGAATCTGGCGCTGAGCAGCTAAACACAGATATCAACGAGGTCTGTCCTCGGCCGAAGTGGCAGAAAGGCACCACAGGGCTGCATGGAATAAGCTCGCCTCAGGAATGGAGGATATGTTTTTGAATCTCCTAATAGTTTATTGTAAGGGTCCCTTTCCTTACACTAACGCGTTCCTTCCGAAAACCTCGAACACCATGTAGCTGATGATCAAACGTAATCACGGAAGTGGCAGTCTAGAAGCCGTTGGCTCGTGGGATTGAATCAATTTTGCCATCATCATGGGCTAAATTTCTGGCTGTTCGGGCGGAACGATCTAAGGGTGGCCCTGGGAGCCAAGGTATGTCTAGGCACTTCTGCAAATGTTCTATACCCTATCTGTCAACTGTTTGAAAAGAGTAGTCATTTTATGACCATAGTTTGGACACAAATTTTCGCACAGATATTTACTTACTATGTGTGAAACCCAAAGAAACATAATCACAGACTTTCCGATACTCCCTCTCCTATCACAGACTAATCAGATGGGAACTGGCCTACCTCTAAAAATCTGGTCAAATCGGAGCCTCAGTTTTCCCGACGGAGCAGAAAGGCCGAGCAGTTAATTCCAATTTTCATGTTAGTAGGGCTACCACGAGTTTCTTATTGATTGCGCGGCATAGTAAGCTTCGCCCATTTATCTGTGTTATACTTTGTATAGTACCGAGATATGTATACCAGATTCTTCGATATTGTAAACTATAATGACTGCACATCTACGATAATCTACATAATTAGGTGCGATAGTTGCAGAGTTTATCACGTTACACGGGCTCTAAATATTATCGCATTTGTGGCTATTCGTACCCCTAAGCAGTACCCATGATTATGATATCAATCTAAGGGCGACCACAGAGTATTATCAATCCATTAGGACCACTTCTTTCTTGCCTGCTGTCTTTTCGTAAACCCACTTCTCGGATGGCTCTTACCAGATCGGTGTGGCTGAATGCTTCCATTAGTACCGAGTATGCAAACAGGAACTTTCTCAAAACTCGGGTAACATTCAATAATTGTCGTTTCGCTTGAGAGCATCTTTCAGGTAGGCTTGTTAATGCGGTTGTTATCGCCGGCAAAGGATAGCCGCAACCATCTTCGCCATCTCATTGGCTGAGCCTGGATTCTGTCTAGCCACCAGGTTACCGTCGACCACAGTGTAGGACACGAATGGCAGTCTGGCCGCGGCTCTGGGGGAGACTTGTCGCTTTCAGGGCTGCCGATAGTCTGCTCGAACCAATGTTCTTCGAAGACTTGCCAGGCTTGCGTTAACTCGGACAGTCACAAGCCGGTTATGTGCGATGGGAGTGTTGTAGTGCCCAATGTTGGTGACGACATTCAAGATACGCTTCTCCATGGTTTGGATTCCTTGGTGCGTAGTTACTAACGCTCTCGGATGCAATGTGCCTCGCGACGTTCCAGCGCAGCTACCACGAACATGAGTAGTGTACGGACGCGATATACGCAGAATTGAGCAAATACATTGGATAATTTCATGTAGGGAATGTGTAAATGAGGTCGGCCAATAACTCCAGCCGAACTGCCCAACCTTGTGACGATAATGCTCGAAACCGTGAAGACGATACTGTGGCTACATGCTAAATTTAATTGCCACTTTTCTGCCTCGGCTACAAAAGTTCACGTTCAGTCCTCATGTGAATACTGTCTCTGCTACAAGAGGGCAATAGAAGTACCCAGCTGCCCTCTGTGCCCTTAGTTCAGAGCAAGTACCGGAAGTTTCTGTTCTCTCGATCCGTGAGGTCCAAAAATTCGAAGTCTTGAGGTAGCTGCTGCGGTTCCTGACGATCTCTCTTCCTGTTTTCCAAAGCATACAATAAATCAAGTGCGACAGTAAGGCCGATGCCGACGGCCAAGACGACGACGATAGTCAACTTGGCAGGAATGTACTGAGGGGCGTCTCTGGCTTGAAAGGTCTCGGGACCGATAATATTGCCGACGCAAAAACTCATCAACACGATAGCGTTCATCGCTATTTTCTTTGTATGCCCGGCATCTGTGAGGTTAGTACGGCCATTTTCAAACGGGAAGTCAGGGCGGAGCACATACGATTGGCCGTGATCCAGCTGTACATTAAGGGTAGGCCTGAGATGTGTCAGCAAAGGATAAATCGTGCTTGGTTCGCAGAGCTACTTACTCGCTCCAACAGTATTGGTCAAAAAGTTTCCAGCTAACAGTCCCGGCTTGTTGTCGGCCGGCAACCAAGCCATTAATGCTCCTCCAATCATGGTGGGAATGATCAAAAAGATTATGGCAGTGCCTCTGCTATTGTATCGGCCTCCCCACCAAGTTCCGAACCAAACTGAGACAAATGCTACCGCACAACCAGGGAGATTCAGCAACAGAGTGGTGTATTCGTCATAGCCAAAGCTGGAAGGGTCCGTCAGAGCGTTGAAAAGTGTAGTTCTGGGTAACTTACTTGGAAATGATGATGCTCGAAAAGGAACTCACGGCACCATTTGGGACATTGGTGGTGATAACGATCAAACTCAATAGCCAGGTCTTGGTACTGAAGAAGACTTCTTTGAGTTGTTTAGTCTTGAGTCGCTTGTTTTCGATACCGGTTTGATTCTCGCGAACTCGTTCAATAATGAATAGCTTTTCGTCGTTGGACAGTCGGCTCTTCATGGGGTTGTCTGGGAGGAACAAGACGACCATGATGCCGACGACGACAGTGATAAGACCAAATACGAGAAACAATATTTGCCATGACTTGAAGTGGACGTGAGGGTTCGATTTGGTATAATGCAAGAAGCCATACGAGGCGAGCGACGAAATGGCTGGACCGACACTAGTGCCTTGATACCAGATTCCCATTCTGGACACTTGTTCGGGTCGTTTATACCACATGGCCGTAAGGACGACGAGACTGGAGTATTGGTGAGCGTCTTAGTTGGAGTATGGAAAGTTCTCACCTAGGAGCGACGGAGGACTCGAAGATACCCAATAATACCCTCAAGGCGACAACCGACGCGAAATTGTGGCAGACGCAGTTCAATGAGACAGTGATGCCCCATAGTACGACTTATCAGGTCAGAACCCATGTGACACCACGAATGTATAAGATTAGACACTCACCGTTGCAACCCAAGTACTTGGCGGTGGGAAATTTCTGAATCAACATCGCCTGGAGCGGTTCACAAACGAGGAAGGAGACGTAGAATGCAATGGCCAGGTTTGAAAATCCATTTGCGGGCAAGTGAGTGTCTTCAATGAGACCCATGACGGCGGCATAGTTGACTAGGCACATGTCAGACGGCGAATCGAATATCTCTGGGTTAGGGAAGGAAAACGCACGCAGCGTCTTGTCAGTGTATTGAAGGTAATAGCAAGCAAACATCAACGGCATCATCATCCAATCGACTTTACGCATTAGTTTGTTTTCGTCAATATCAACCGACTGTCCTGTGTCGGCATTTGCTCGAAGAAAGGATAAGGCGGCGTCAACATCTCGGTAGTCGATGGACTTTTCGTCGACCTGAACAGATGTCACGGCAGAGTTCTCGAGTTCGATGTCGTCCTTCATGGTGACAATGATAATGATTCTCTACAAGTAGACAGGAAGAGAGGAGTGCGGGGAGAGAGTGCGACGTTAGTCGTGATTGAGAATATATAGGTTGTTACTCCGCCCTCTTTCCGATAATCTATCTATCTCGCTACCGCGAGACGGGGGACACATTGATACGTTATCATAGGCGAGTATTCTATCAAATAAGTGCCGAGATTGGCATGTCTATGCACCTAAGTGTGCGTATCTAGGACTTTCTAGAGAGGGTATGGCGTTATTTGGATACGACAGGCGTCTCAGCAGGACACTGCCATGAGCCAGGTTCGCATGAAAGATATCCCTGACCAATCAGAGCCAAAATTGGGGGAATCTGTCCCTTTCGGCGCTTCTCCGTCCCGTCTGATCTGCGAATGCGGAGTTCGAGGGGCGATAAGGGAGTCTCGAATGGGACCTGTGCCGCAGCCGGTAGCGGTCCACTTTGAAGGGGGATTTGCGAGCGTCTGGGTAGGTTGAACAAGTGGCACCTAACTGGAAACTCTGTTATCCTAGGTCAACGCGACGGCTTGGTTTTGGCGGATATGGCCGATCTTTTATCATCGAGGAATTGATAACCCAGTACGGAGTACGACTATTACCCCATGTGCCAAGTTACGAGTGCGTCATCGAATCATCGCCCATCCAAGGGGCCGAATGAGGAACGGCGTCTGCGCGTCCAGTAGCAAGAACTTTGCAAAGAAATATAACCCATTGAAATAGGAAACTTCTTCCTACGCCTATAAAACGGTGATGCGCCGGCGAGCAACTAGTGGTCCATCCACAATTCCTACAAAAAGTAAATCGTACAGGTTCCCGGTCGCGCTCCTGCTTTTTGCCATGGGTAATGCGACCGAGGTGATTGCTGCCATTCCATGCGAGCTCATGTGCCTCTGCACTTTGGATATTGTGATGGTCGTTCTTGTTGTCCTTTTTACAACAAATACTCAGCCAAAATCCTATGGAAAGCAAATTGTTATGGACATAACAACCTATGATTCTTCAACCTGGAAGTCGTTGAGAAACGCCCACGGGAGCTGTTCCTTCCAGCCGGCATTTTTCCAGTTGTCGATCGCCTTAGGATAGAGTTCGATGGTATCGGCGGCGTTTGAGTCGTGGGCCATGGGAACGAATATATCTTCACTTGCGTCGAACTCGTCGAGCTTCCGTTGACTTTGCGTTGCCTCACGAACCATGTCGGAATTGTGAGGTTTGACTAACTCGTAAAAGGGCTCAATAGCGGAATGATTTGGATGAAGTTTTAAGAACAACGATCCAGGGCAAGGCATTCGTGGCTACCTCAATTTACCCTCCCCGATCACGCTCAAATCAATTGTGTCGGGAAGTGGTCAATATCGATTTGGACGAGATTCTCCACCGTGATGACAACAATCAGCTGGCTGCCATGAGGACGAAACCATCTGGAGTTGTCCTCGCTGGAGCCATTATATGACCTTTGGAGTGACCAGGGCAGCTCAAAAGGTAGAACGATCCATCCCCGAAAAAGTCGAATGCTTCATACTGGCCCAGCCTCAGACCCGTGTAATTAAAATCCATCTCAACCAGTTTCCGACCATGGTGGTCACTCTCAATGAATCTATTTGTTCGGACATGACGGTCATTGCCTTGGTAAATGCACAGGTCCGAGGGGATAAGTTTTCTGGGTTTTACCGAATATCTAAATCGAATAGGATCTTCTGGCCGGATGCATGATGTGATATCAAGAACGAATAACAGGGACAGTTAAACTCATCGTGGCCAGCAATATGTGGCTGCACGACGATGCTGGTCTTGGCGATAATCCGTGAAGTTGTCTCTATGGCTGAAACAGATACTGTTGACGAGGATAGGGGGATGTTCAAAGTTGGTGAGGGTGCCATCGTGATCAATGTACTTGATTTTCTATTGGTATCACTAGCCTCCGAGTCCTGATCTGTACTTGAGAAGTTTTCACGAGCTGCCTAGATCCCATCTCAAAGGGTTTCTCTTCCAAGCTCCAGGCTCGGTCTGGCTGTCGCGCCAACATTTCGCGGGCCATTCGCCGCGAAGGAGACGAGCGGTGGCCGAAAGATTCGAGCCGAGGCCAAGGAGCCAGCGCTGATCGGCTGCAATGAGAAAGGTGGCCGAAAACCACCACCGTAGAAGCATCAGTGAAGCATTGAGACTATCGACCCATCCAGTGGAGACCGACATTTGTTGTGTCTACAATCCAGATCGCTTAGCAAGTCCTGGTTGAACGATTTCAGGAAGGAAGTCAACATGACTTAATTATCGTACCTAGAAAGGAGTGAATGATTGTGTCACTCCGTCGGAGCCACGAAACCTGGCTGGGAAGGGCGTTATTATCGCTGGAGGTGATTGCCACAACACATGGCTTTGTCGGAAACAAGATTCAATATGCTAATATGCTCTGGAAAGGAGCAAAGGGTATGGGCGACGAAGGAGTCCGGGCTTTTATCGCCGTCGGGTAGTGGTCCGAATTGCAATGTTTAAACACCAGGCTAATCTCCTGTGCTTGTGAAGGGTTCATGTTACATTTGGAGATCTAGACGAGCAGACTGGCTTGAAGCTCGAGGAAGAACTAGAACCGTATGTTCAGTCCTAATAATACACCCACAACTGATCAAAAATCAGCAACGCTACCTTTATCCTCTGCGATGTCACCTCCTAGGAGGATCAGCTAGCCATGATTAAGTTGAGCATCAGCAAATCTCTACGAAAGAGCATTGACATAGTGGTCGCCATTACTGGTATCAGTGGGCCGGACGATATATTTAATATCGAAGGTGAGCTGGAGGACAGTAACCAATAATGGTCGATTGTCTGAAACGCTATACTAAAAGCCTCCAGATGCAGAAGAACCTCTCAAGTCACAGTTGAAAATCGTTAAAATCGATCTCCCGGGAGTCTTATACACTCTGAAGCTGGCTCGCCACTATTTATGAAACATCCTCTCGATGGTAACCACGACCGCTGCTTCAGTGTCAACGCCAGCTTGGTCAGTTTCCTCAACGTCCTTAGTATCCCCCAATTCATGGCATCAAAGTGGGGATGCCGGGCATTGATGAGATGTGTTCGGAGGACGACTGCAGTCGATGGCGTTCGGATGAACCTTACACGCCCTTGGTATGGCTACCGAGTTTTGTTGACGGTATCGCATGCCGACTACGTCTTGATAGGTACGTTGGCACAACTATACTGAGTTCAACGGTGCAAGAGTATTGCAAAAGCAAAGGAATTGTTCTCGCAGAAGCCGCGACGCAACTGGAGTGTGGCTCAAAATCGCAACAAGCCCATCAATGAACGGTAAGAGCCTATTTATGACAACCTTCAGTAGCATACGGCACCGAGCTGATAGGTTATGGCAGGCCGATCTTTCGGAATTGTACCTCGTAACGCCGCCGCTCCCCAGGGCTGTATTGATCTTGGGAAAGAGGACTATGACGCTAGGGAATATCTGAATGATCTCCAGGACATTTTGCTAAAGACCTCTCATCGTCTAGCTGTCAAAGCCGAAAGTCAGTAATAGATGGTACAGGATAGTTGACCCTTTGTATGTATTCATTGCAACAGATTCACGGCAATACTTGTCTCTGAATTTTACTTTTCGGGGTAAGGCAATACTTCTTGCTATGGAGTGTCTCGTCTATGGAGGGCAGTCGCTACCTGCCCAGGGATTGTGTCATGGTATCCATTAAGCCCTCCTATCACCGTATCTCAGGTCCAGTTTCCCATTATCTTCGAAACCAAAGCACTCTAAGAGAGGTCTACCATTCGGGTCGGCCTATTTTCCGTGATAAAGCTGTGCAATGCAGTTAACACCATTTCTGGCCCTAACCAAGCGAGGCTGGCAAATCCCAGGCAAAGGTGTCATACCTCTCCATGTTTCTCCAGATCCAATTAGAAGGCTGTCACTTTCAGGTTCCCATCTGGTCTCTAATACTCGACCGTCCAAGCTCCGGTGAAAGGGGATTCCGCCTCCGAGTCGATACTGTCTGGCATTCTTCGAACGGCGCGGCCGGTCCCAGTCTGCTTGGAATGTAGGATACGAGTTGATACCCATTAGCCTCCAACGTAGGTTCTCCGCCGTTTACATCAGATGGTATGATTATAGACCGGGCAACACCGTCCAGACTTTTCATATCATTCGAGCGGAAGGCAAGGGATTTCACGGCTCCAATCACAGAACGGGACATGACGCTAGACTATCGCTGCTCGGGCACATCAGACTCTGGCACCGAGGGCATGCCGAGGATTTGCGCCTCAGTTTCGGTCCGGAAGACCCCTCTTCCCCGCATGATATCCACGACGGCCAGAACAGTCATGAGCTCTAGATAAATACTATCAGGCTATTCCACGTTTCTCGTTGGAAGCTTCATTTCCTGCGTTATGGCTAATCTTCTGCTCTTGATTTTGAAACACCCGCTGCAAGCTCTGCTGTTCACGCATTCCTTTCTATCTCAGGCCCTCCTTGTACTCTTGCGACGTTTCCTCCTTCCACATTTTCCAGTTTACCAATCCATCCGACTACAGTTACAACGAGCATATCTCTCATCGGCATCTCTCACGTTTCCGAACCTGACACATAGACTGCCAGTAGGTGATGTTTCCCCCAGACGAGCTCGCAAATTTGATGAGAATGTCCCCGGGTATCTCATCCCCGGAACGCACCACCTCTCCGATTTTGCGCAGAAGGAACAATGCACAAGACAAAGGTGTGTCGTACTGTTTGCTCATGGTGGAGGCTACGCCCGTGGCGAGGCAAGGATGTATTTAAACTACATGGAACGCTGGTTTTTACGCGCGATGAACCAAGCCTTAGATCTCGCTTTTTTCACAGTGGAATACCGTGAGTGCATCCCGAACACGACTAATTCGGCATAGATCGAGTGCTAACGCGCCCCATCTCCAGCCCTCTCTACCAAGGCAAGCCATCCAGCGCAAAAAAATGCATTTATCGAGGCCTATCGTTTTCTCTTGAGCCGTGATATTGTGCCAGGCAATATTGTATTCATGGGTGACTCTGCTGGCGGTAAGCCTCTTCCGTCTACTTTCAAGGCTTACGCTGACTGCACGTCCAAGGCGGACTATGTATCCTTGCCAGCTTGGAACTGAAGCGGATAGGTCTTCCCCAACCATGTGCAATGATCTTGGTGTCTCCATGGATCGATATGACGTTGAAGGCTCATCAAGGAGGGAATCCTGCGGTCGAGAGCGACTACTTTCTACTGGCCAACAGCGCGGTTCCTGGATTGGTTAGATTGTTCATTGGCGACAGACCGCCTGAGTCTCCAGAAGTAAACCCACTTCGCCACCAGCCTCACGAGCTGGAAGGTCTAAGTCCACAGCTAATATTCACTGGAGGCGCCGAGTTTGCACGTCAAGACTCGGAGCAATGGGCAGAACTTTGCCACAAAGCCGGCTTAAGATACAAACTGGTTATCGAATGGGGCCAATTGCATATTTACGCCATGGGCTCCAACTTCATCAACCCTACTATACGCCACAAGACTGATGATATGATAATTGAATGGATCAAAGATCATGTAGTGCAATGAAAATTCGCTTTGAGCAAGCACAAAGTAGCGTGGATAAGATGTAGTCAATTCCTTGTTGCCGGCAAATCTTCAATCGGGAAAGAGAACGAGGCCGCGGCGCCCTGAATAGCGTGAGGATGACCAGCCAACAATAATGGGAGACACCGTCCAAAACTCCACACATGATTAGAATAGGGCTGAGATATGGCTCTCAATCCCCCCGCTCTGCGAAACCCGAGGCCGAGCAAAGCAAGGCAGAACCTCCTTGGAGATGGGCTCGGCGTAAACTACTCCGTACTCGGTGCGAAATGGGGCTTTATCGAGTAACCTGCTCCTTTCGGCAGGTCGGATGCCCATTTGCCACGAGGCTTAGAAGGGCCACGGCCGTGGAACATGAATTCACCAACCAAAAAGGGGAGATCAACACAAGGTCAAGTTTATCAGGTTCTAGAGAGAACACGTTTCTCTGCCAGGATACAACAGACTGTCCGAATGATGAAAGAAATGGCCAAGACAGGATCAAGGCAGGTTGTGGTTGGCAATGTGTCCGGATCAACCGGGGACCGGTTAGATGGTGAGTCGCGATGCAGCCCAAAGGCGGAAATAGTCCAGGGATTGAATTGAAACACAGGAATGAAATCGATGTTGCGAGGCAAAAC